TTACCGGACGGTCCGGTAAAGGTTGTTGCCCAACGGTCAAAATTTTTAACATTTTGACACCTGACTCACCAACGGCTAGTAGCCTTGTCCGGTAAGTACCGGACGGTCCGGCACACTTGTCCGGTAGGACAGACTCTTGACCGTTAGGAAGATCTTTGAGAGCTATAAATACCACTTTGTCTTCACTATTTATATAACTGTTTATGAGCATTAAGTGAAGTATTTTATTGATTCTCTCAACCTTATTTTTCACTCTTTTAAAGATCAAATCATTCATTTATTGAAAAACTTTTTCAGTAATCAAAAGTTGAAAAATCAGTTATCTCAACTAAAGGTTTTCAATCAAAACACTTGAGCTGCATTCTTTGCTATCAATTAAAGCGTTTACATACTTCTCTCTTATATTCAAACTAAGTTTATATCATTTATTAAGAGAGAAGTTTTTCATTTGTAATTTCAATTCTCTTATTTTTGGATTGTGGGTCGTGTTGAGGTCCTGAAAATCTCAACGGTGTAAAATGATTGGTGCTCCTTGATTGTAAGTCACCGGAAACTTTGTAAAGATTGAATTGCACCATAAGTCAATCAAATATAGTGGAAAATGCCTTACTCGTAACGGAGAGTTTGGTAGCGAGGGATGTAGATCGTTGATTTGATTGAACCTCCTTATTACATAATTTGCGCTCTCTCTTCCCTTTCTCTTATTATTTTTGTGATATCTTGCTTACTTATTATTTTAATTGTTATTTGCTTAAGTTCGAAAAAGGTTCAAATAACCAATTCACCCCCTCTTAGTTAGTTGTTCTTGGGCTGTCAAAGCGAAATCATGAATCCTAACCATGTTTTCCTCCAAAATTCCCAAGTGTTTATGTTTTTCTTATTTTGTAGATTTTGTAGTTAATTTCTCTTACTTTCTAAAATCAATTTTTTATTGCGTGTTTGTTTCTTTTTATTGTTAGAATAAAATTAATTAGAGTTGTGTAATCAAAAATAAACATTCCTCGAAGATCGATAATTCGAATTCAAAAGGTCAACTTTATTACTTGAACGTGATCCCTGCACTCGTGTCATGCACTTTTAACGAACAAATTTTTACCATCGCTGTCGAGGATTGGAACATATAAAAATAGGATTAAATTATTGTTAAATTGAAGTTATGTGAGTCGAACGTTAATGATCCAGCGACAATTGGAATGAAAATATGGTGACTGCCAATATAATTAAGGAAAAGTTTCATAACTAAGAATTTAGGTATCACCCATTTCAAAATTGAGTAAAGGTTTCAAATTTCAAATATCAATTTTATATTTTAATTTTATTTATAAATTAATTTATTAAACATATATTTTATTAATTAGATATATTAAGGTCACAATTCTATACAGTTTGGTCACAATTTATGAATTAACTGGTTACAAATTCATTTTCGATCAAAATTTATCAAATTATTGATCGCAACTTATTTCTCAATTACAAATTAAAAAATTTATAAATTTCAAATTATTTATCGATCATAAATCAAAAATTTTATAAGTCACAGATTATTCATCGATCACGAAATCAAAAATTTTATTGATTACAACTCATTTATTCATTGTAAATTATTAAATTAATTGGTCGCAAATAATATTTCGATCACAACTTAATTAATTGTAAGTCACAGTTACAATTTGTATGTCACATATTACAAATTAACCAATTAATAGTCATAATCAATCAAATAATTGGTCACAAGCATCCAACCACATCTCACCCCACCCATCACCATCGCAACAACAACCACCATCACTATCACCTCTACGACAACTAGACCTTGCAATACCCCAATAGCAGCCAAAACACCAACAAGTGTCGCCTAACCAACAACAAAATCATCGCTGCCACCACCACCAACAAACCACTGCCACCATTGCCATTCGAACATACTAAAACCAAACCAATGCCTGTTTCACCACCATCACCACCTATAACGCTGCCACCACAAACGAAACACTGCACCGCCACCACCACTGCAACCACTACATAGTTCGTCCCACTCCGCTGTTGTTGCCACCAACAACCACAACCACCCATTCTCTTCTTTAACTCCGATCCATAGTAACCATAACCAAATCCCATCACCCCATGCCATTCCACACACAAAGCACCCACCACAACCACCACCACCATTGTCGACCATCGCACCACTGCACAATAGATCGAATAAAAAAAAAACTCCCAAAAAAATCGAGGCGACGTTGCAAATTTGGGCAGCAACGGCGCCGCCTCACTGCTCGTAGCTACGCCATCTGCAGCTAGGACCACTGCTTCAGCAACATTGCTTTTTCCCTCAGCGATGCATCACCGAGCCTTGCCACCACCGATTAGGATGGTTCCGGTACCGAATGAGGGGGTAGAGAGAGAGAATAATAGAGACTGAGAAGCGATAAGGAGGGAGATGAGGAGAAATGCTTTTTAAAATTTGGGTAAATGTATTAGGGTTTGGACTGAAATATCTGATTTGTGAAAAGTGAAACATTCTATCTGATTTTAGAATACAAATCTTTAAAAGTATGGTTTAGTGCAATTTTCACTATAATTAATCTTGTAAAAAGATGTTACAAAATCTTATGAACTATAAAATGAGTTAGCCCATGTTTGATTGGCCTAAAATCATATTTTTAGTGAATTTTGATAAAAGTTGATGAAATATATGGTTAAAAAGTTGTAAGTTTCATGCAATACGCGGTTAAAAATTATTGTTGAATTCGACTCAAATTAAAATATTGATTTTAATCTCTACCAAACAAGGATTTGACATAGGTTGCCCTTAAATATTACATTTCCCTATGAGAGAAACAAAGTACCTCAAAAAATTCTCGGCTCGATTAAAATGGTCGAGCTTTTTTACGAGCTTGAGCTGAGCCGAGCTTTTGCTCGGCCAAAAAATTTCGGCTCAACCCGAGCTTTTGGCACCCAAGCCGAGCCGGGCCGGCTCGATTTTTATTTTCTCGAGGCTGCCTTGGCTTTTTATTTATTTATTTTTTCCTTGCGTTTTGCTGCCTTGAAAGGCAGCATTGCCTTTTTAAGGCAGAATTTGCTGTCTTTAAAATGCAGAATTTCAAGGTTCTTCTCCTTTTTTTTTCGTGGACTGGCCCGAGCCTCGGATCGGTTGCTTCGAGCCACGAGTCGTCGAGCCGTCGAGCCTTTTTGACATCCCTAATCGTAAATCATCATTTACATATTTTTAAATAAATTGATTATGTGTCGAAAGAAAGTAGAGAAATTTACATATTTTTAGTTTGTGGTGATATTTTGAATCAATGAAGCCTTTGTTTGGGCTCCATTAAAATCAAATTTTGGAGAAAAATATATTTTGTAATAGTGATTTTTTTTTTTTTTATTAAGAATGTGTGGTTAAAAAGGAAATTTTTTTTTGAATTTAAGTGTAGTTTTATCGAAAAATGTGTGATTGAAAAAAAAAAGATAAAAAAGAGAGAGAGATAGAATATATATTTAGAGTTTAATGGAGTCCATAAAATGGCTAAATATTGTCACACCATCCTCTGATAAACAAATAAGTTGTGATATACATTTAGCACAATGAGGCTCGACCCTGACTATAGACAGCGTAGACTTAAGGCCCCATTTTGATAAGATTTGTGATACAGGTACAGATTCATTTTGTCAGAATGGTACCAAATTGATACTTGGCAAGATTTCATTGGTAGATGTATCAAAAATATTTTTAAACCTTCCAATCACAAAATTGCTAAGTATGAATTTGGTACCAATCTGACAAAATAAATATATTCAAACATCATAAACCTTTTGATAGGGTCCCAAATTATGTAAAGCTAGTTGATTGATTGAAGAAAAACGAAAATTATAATTATGAAATTCTTTAAATTAGAATTATTATACGCAAACAGAAGAAACAAATAAAATTTGAAAATACAAACATTTTAAATTTTTTTTTGTATAAATGACATAAAACTTATCACATACATTTATGTATCACATAAATATATCACATCAACTAACTTTTTCCTATATATTAATTAATTTGACTATTTATCTTCCCCAAAATCATTTTTCTTTCTCTTAACAAGAAAGAAAATGTCACTTTTCTCTTTTTCAAAATTACACGTTACTTTTTCTAATGCTCTCATGGTGGATCTTATACTCATTCAAGGAATTGCTGCTAAAGGCATTATTATTCATCCCTCTTGATTTGTTGTGTTTCTTCCAATTTTCCTGATTATGTTTAATTGTTAATTGTATTCTATATCAAAGTCAATAATTAATTTTAAATTCGCATTTTATAGACCAACACCTATTCAATTATAATTTTTATCAACTTTTTATCATGATCTACTAAAAATTTAATTTTAATTCTATCAAATGGGGGTTTAATATTCATAGGGACCCCATATTTCGAAGTTGACATAAAGCTCCAAGTTATCTGGGTGGCTAGGCTGCCTTGAGCAAAATAGTTGATTTCTTGATAAATGACAACCAACCTTTAATGATTAATGACAACTGACCTTTATCGACAAATTTTTAAAAAGTAGATTAGTTATGACGTAGGGTTTGATCCTAGAGAGTTAGGCTATAGTTGATTTCTTGACAAATGACAACCAACCTTTAACGACAAATGACAACTGACCTTTATCGACAAATTTTTAAAAAGTAGATTAGTTATGACGTAGGGTTTGATCCTAGAGGAGATATGCTATAGGTACAAAGTTGATTTACAAAATTAATTGATAAAATAATATCTATTTCAGTTATTTCAAAAAACAAATTTTTAAATTATTGAAAATCAATTACTTGAATTTTACTAACTAAATTTGTAAACATATTTTGTACAAATAGTATAATACATCCTGGAATTAGCCAGCATCAACCACGTGGTAGAACAGCCGGGCCTCACAAGGTCTCGCTTTATTAACAAATAGTATGCGTGGCATAGAAGAACCAATTTGCGGAACTCAAATGTCTGAAGATTGCCACGTGTTCTCTCTGTCTTGCATAATAGATGCCCCTCCTCCCGCCAACCTAGCTCCCACTCTCACATATTTACGCGCATTAGACGCACAAAACGCACAACCCAGAAGTGTATGGTTCAGACGCACTCCATAAGTGCATTATTTTCATTTCAAGAAAATTCAAGAAAATCAGGGATACTGTGTAAAATTTTATTCTTGACTCGACTCCTACTTGCAAAAATTCAATTCAGTCTGTTCTCGATCAATTTCATGCTTGGAAGATATTTGAGGGATTCTTGTGCTTGAGTTTCGTCTTCCAAGAATGTGATTCGGTAAGTTTTGGCTTATACGTGATTGTAAAAATGTCTAGGGACATTAGTGATCCAATGAGGGATATCCCACCTGGGATTTTGCTAATTAGGAGCATTAGGGGAAGAGATTGGAACATAAAAACTTATAGATACATGGTTTTGATTATTACGTTCATAGCGTATACTGGTTACCATGCTTCAAGAAAACCCAGTAGTATAGTCAAGAGTGTCCTGGATCCGGAACCGAATAAAAATTCGAACTTGATTATTCCTTGGCCGGTTGGGGATCTCTTTATTGGGAAGGAAGTAATGGTGACTAATACTAGCATTGACGCGGGTGGATCTAGAAATAACAAGGGTTGGGCACCATTTAATGGAAAGGACGGGACGTCGAAATTGGGCGAGATTGATGTTGCATTTCTGGCTTGTTATTCGATGGGAATGTATGTGGCAGGGCATTTAGGCGATAGATTGGACCTTCGGTTGTTCTTGACTACTGGAATGATTGGAAGTGGCATTTTTGTGGCGCTGTTTGGAATGGGTTACTTTTGGAACATTCACGTTTTCTGGTTTTATTTGGTAATGCAAATGGTTGCCGGGTTGTTCCAGGCTACAGGGTGGCCTTCAGTTGTTGCTGTTATTGGTAATTGGTTTGGCAAGAGGAAGAGGGGATTAATAATGGGAATTTGGAATGCTCACACGTCAGTTGGAAATATTTGTGGATCGTTGCTTGCTGCTAGTGTTTTGGATTATGGATGGGGCTGGTCTTTTATTCTTCCAGGCGCATTTATATTCCTGGGTGGGATAATGGTGTACATGTTCCTGGCTGCTTATCCTGAAGATGTTGGATTTGCTGATCTAAATGGTTTGCCCGTGGAGGCTGCAACATTGCCTGATGACGTCGAAACTCAGATTTCGAAAGATGTTATGGCTGGAGATGAGCAGAATACTGACCCTCGGTTTACTTCTGTTAACAGGAGAAGTGTTGGGCTTCTTGAAGCTTGTTTAATACCGGGAGTAATTCCATTTGCACTATGTCTTTTCTTTGCAAAGCTGGTGGCATACACATTTTTGTACTGGTTGCCATTTTATCTTAGCCACACTGGTATTCCCCGATTCCCAATATTTCATTAATCTTATATCTCTGTCAGTGTGTTTATGTGCATGAGCGTCCTCTCCACCTTTTATTTTTTATTTTTTATTACTGCATGTATACTTACATGGATTTATCAAGTTGTTTGGTCCTTTTCACTTGGCACTTCTATTAACAACGCAAGGAAATTCCAATTCTTGCAATACTAAAACAGCCTGGTATGCCTTGATTTGCAAATTTCTATTAGTATTGTACTTTAAGAACCAAAATGAAATGATCAGTTCAAGATAGAAGATTCATGGGCATCTCTCCTTGAGTAGGAGCTTGATGAAAGCCAGAACTATGTTTAATGGGGAGAAAGAGATACCAACAATGTTATGTGATCTAAATTAGTTGAGTCAAGTTAGCGTATTGTAGTTGTGCAAAATATTTAGCAAAGTCCATGTATGTTGTGTATAGGAACGTTTTAAAAATACTGTAGCGCTTCAATGGATAAAGTGAATCGAGCTTTCAGATTGTGGAAATTAAGGTTTAGTTTGAGAGCCTGCCATTTGTTCATTTTATATCTGTCTTCTATTATTACCTATATTGTAATTAAACTCAAACTTGGATGTACCAATTGTCAGTAAATTTCAATTGAGACCTTTAAGAACATAAATTAAGTTATAATTTTTCATTGACACTTTGTAATACTTTTTTTTTTTTTTTGCATGAGATAGCAATAGTACCCTGTCAGGCTACTACTTGATGAGAGAAATGCCTTAGCAGCTACTTGATACCTTCACGGTTTGATTTTTATCAGTCTCAAACTAGATATATTGAACGACACTGTGAACGATTATTCATGGATGGACTGCTGGCATCTGTAAATGACTTAAACCTGGGAGATAATTTTTTTTTTTTTTTCATTGATTGAAAGGCTAAATATCTCATCTCTAGTGTAATGTTGTTGAAATATTGTCAAAGGACAATTTATTGACAAAACATTCTTGCTATATTAGTTACATATGCCATCAATTTCTGGTGTGTACATACAAGAATAATGACAATCATGGAAATGGATGCAGGGCAATGGATAATTGAATATCTCACATTTAATTAGATACAATACCATAAACAGTTTAAAGTTTTTGGGTTTGTTCTATTTGGTTGGCTAAGCACTATCTGAAATTAAAGGATTTTCATAATGAAACAAGATCTAATTACAAGAAAGAAAAATTCTACGGTTTCTTTTGGTAATTCCGTTGTTGGTATTGAATGATTGAATTGCATTTAGATAGTAAAGTAATCCATAAAAGTAGCACATAATTAAATAACAGATCGGCAAACTGGAGATGAAATTGATTAGGGCTCCTTATGCAAGGAAGTTTCATCTGATGGCGGGATGGATGATGATGCAGAGTGGGGAAGAGATGGAGGTGAAGTGAAAGGAGAAGGTGGCGATGGCAGTCGTGGCAGAGGTAAGTTGGGTGAAGGAAGCTGTGATAGGATAGAAAATTGAATATGACAAAAAACTTGAAGATAATTCACTGTAATGACTGGCATGTTGGTAGATACACTGAGTGCATCAGAGAGATGGAGAGAGCAATGATTGGGGAGGTGGTTCGTTTTAAAGAAACGATGCCAGCAGTAAACGGGGGTGGGGGAGGAGGCAGTATAAGCAGCAGTTGACATTAGGGTGTGTGGGCTTGCATGAGAGGGGGATTGAGAGAGTTTGCAGCTAGTGGCATTCTGGATGATGGTGTGGCAGTGGTAATGTGGGCTCAAGACAGTTGAATTTGTTTAGCATTTTATGGACAAATTAGTCGCTTGTACTCAGTGTGAGGGTAAAATGAATCGCTCCAATATTGTTGGATGAGAATACTGACGCAATCTCATTATCTTACCAATTGGCTTATCAAATGCACGAATCATTTAAGAAGTGGACCACGTCCTTCCTGCAATGGATTTAACTAATCTTGCAGGTCTCTGTTGTTGAAGAATTGATAGTGCATCTCGAATTACTGTTCAATCTAAGCATGGATATATATTTGTTACAGTTCTGTTGGCGTTCAAGTTTGTTAAAAGCTGTAGTTAGTATCTACTCCTGTCTGCCCCTCCGAAGAATGAACCACCATCAAGGTGGCAACAGGATAGATTTGAGTGAAAATATGAGCTCATACATATGTTCATTAGGTTGAGGTCATTTATTATTTGTTCAAACAAGCTTTCTAGTAATTGCGTCGGTCCTCGGATCTACAAAGATGGCTAAATGTGATTTCTAAAACATTTTAGGCTGCAGAACACTTGGAATGCACATACGTGTAGAAGAAAAACATCTATATGGTCGCACATGCGCGCATGCAAGAGCGCACGTGTATAAATGTATAGGGTGAGAGAATGGGTGTGTTGTACACACACAGATGCCACTTTGAAATATCTAAAGATACATTTTGTTCCGAGTCTAGATTAATTAGTGTTTCTTTTGATTCTTAATGGTTAGATAATGACAACTACATAAGAAACATATGCACCCTCTATTTCAAATTATGTGCCATTGCACGGATAGAAATAGCAATTAGGTAGGAGTCTTAAACATGTGATCTTGCATATTTCTCTAATTTTGTTTCTAAATATGACATAGAATGTTATGTGGGTCATGTGTTTTTAACTTAGAACTGGTAATGATACAAGGTTGGTATTATTTCTTAAGGCCATTGGAGAAGTGGACATAAAATAGAGACTCCGGCATAAGATCCAGACTGGGAGATTCAGCCTCAAACAAAATTACCAAAATATAATAGTAGACTACTACTGCAGAATGCATTTGGAACTGAAAATGAAAATGAAAATTTAAAACTTCTTTGCTGGAGTCAAATTCACAGGAATAATTGCGAGAATATCTGGGATGTATTTGACTCTTGTCGAGTCGTTATCACTCCAAAAAATAGTTAAACTCGCTATTTTAGTATCAACTGCCTGACATTTTTGAATGCCTCATTTTCTCTTTTATTTAAGCTGATGGACGTTATAAACTGCTCAATATAGTTCTAATTCTAGACTAGATACTTTGCATTTACATTTCTCTTCTCTGTTATGTTTGAAATAACACCTCTGTCCTATGATCAAAGGCTGATAGACTTAAGATTTTGTTTTTGAGGGTTATTTATTTGTGTTCAAGGTTTCTCTTCCTCATCTGTATTCCTCTCATACTGTTGCAGCTATTGATGGTGAGTATATGTCAGTGAAATCTGCTGGAAATCTTTCTACTCTGTTTGATGTTGGAGGAATTGTTGGTGGAATTCTGGCTGGTTACATATCTGATAGGCTCAAGGCTCGGGCCATTACAGCGGCCAGCTTCATGTATGCTGCAATCCCTGCGATGCTTCTATATCGTTCCTATGGATACATGTCTAAGTCCATCAATGTTGTACTCATGATGATAGCTGGTTTATTTGTTAATGGGCCATATGCACTCATCACAACTGCAGTCTCTGCTGATCTTGGGACTCATAGCTCTCTAAGAGGAGATTCTCGAGCACTGGCAACAGTTACCGCTATTATTGATGGTACTGGTTCTATTGGTGCTGCTCTCGGTCCTCTTTTGACTGGATTTCTTTCAACAAAAGGCTGGGACGTGGTTTTTGTTATGCTAACAGTTGGAGCTTTCACTGCGGGTCTCCTTATATCGCAGCTTGTTGTAACTGAAGTTAAGGAGAAATTTTGTAAACAAATGCCCAGTAGACAAAATGATCTTGCAGGTGACATTTTTTTCTCCTTTATACTTCTTCTATTCTTTCTGCTTGTATGTGACTGTTCCTCAATTTCATGTCATTTTTTCTACATATGAAAAAAGAACACACATAATCTAAGAACCAAGAAAAAAAATTGCATTCCTCAAATACTATACTTGTGTGATACCGAGTTTTGAGCGAAATAAAACTGGCTTTTTATGTTTTTAATGTTGTGTTGGAGATTGTTGTTTGGCAGTATAGATTGTTGTTTCATTTTGCTAATGATTTTTATTTCTTTACCATCTGACATTGTAAGATTAATAAACTGGAAAGCTGGCAGCCTGGTATCGATGCATGTAGAAAGACCAATAGTCGACAATGAATGCAGTTTCTTAACACCATATAATATCATCTTTATATTTAACAAATAGGAAAGTTTGACAAGTACATTCTTGTCTAGTGTGTTTAACATACAGCAATATGTAGCGTCAATTGATTACATTCTGGTAGAGCGTCTTGACTTGGCTTGAGGTGTCATCATAATGGAAGATGGATCTTTCACGGCATCTTTAGTTTCTCGGACTGTTGACTTTGGGATAGGCTTGAAAGGCTGGGTATTTTTGATACTGTCTAATATCAAAAAGGGATGAACTTCTGCACAGGTTGAAGTTCTTATCTCCTGCAATACAGCCAGGTTTCTGAATTTAAGTCACCTTGAAGTTTAGGTTTGATTTGAATCTGTGTGCATTGTTCTACTTAGCCTAGAAAAATGAATCCGTTTGAATGTAAGAGTTGGGCTGATGGATGATCAGACTCCAAAGAGGTTCACTTTACTGAAGCACATTATGGCAAGATGACTTGTATGTAGCATGAGAAGTATTTCTAGGTGTTCTGTGATTAGGGTAGGTGAGATGGAATGTGTTGAAGCTGACAAATTCCTATGGTTGCCTTTATATTTCATTGATCCTTTGTCCAATCTTGTCCTTTGATTTGAAAGGAGGACCTATGTGCTGCAATGTATAATGCAAAAGAGCACATCATTTAGATATTTTAGGATCGTGTAGTGTAGGAGATAATGAAATTTCTTTGGCCAAAGAAGTTCATCTATGTGTAAAAATTGGAGTTGTGGACTTCTGAAAGAGGCACCTCGTGAACACATACAAACTGTATTAGTCAACTTCTCATAACATAGAAATGCTAGGGTCATCAGCAGCAGGGAATCAATGATGTAACCTTTTCATTTTGCCAAATAATTAAATACTTCCTATAATTCTTTTAATTGACTTGCAATGGTTCTGAGTTTTGACCACAGGACCACTCACTTATAGCTAGGCACCTCCTGGGGGAATACAATTACGAAATGCTGATGAAAGTCAAAGGACAGAAAAGAATATCGTTACCTGGAAGACTATAAAATTTTAAGATTATTTTCTAATTTGTTAATTAAGATTATTCAAGAGGGAACTTTGTTTAGTTGTTCAAATATTTGTGGATTAGCAAATATGTTTGTTCTTCAATGAATCAGAGAAGGTGCCTGATAATCAGGATCAAGTGAAACATGGAGGTTCTGTAGATGTAAAGTTGTTTAACATTTACATATTGCATACTTTGCTAACGGGGTTACTTATCACTGAAGAAGACAAAAATCATGTGCAGAAAATGCTTTCATGAGTATTCCGTAGGTGGATGACATGGGGTTACTGTGTGACTTAGACAATTCTTTTTTCCACTCTTGGCAAGGGGTGGGGTATTCCGGTATTTTGAGTTCTTTGGAAAATTTAAGATAATTATCTGTGTTTGCTAGTATTTTTATTTCATTCTGGATCTTGGTAACAATTAGAAATGATTGTGAGTTGAAACAGTAGATGATTACATATGCTTATAAGAGTTCCGGGATTCATCATAATGATGCAATTCTTGTGCTTTTTTGCATTTTACATGCATCCTGATATTGGATATTGTTCATAGAAAATCATCTACAGAGTTGCCATCTTATGAAATTTTGGGTGCTACGATGGGTCCTTTTCTGTGTTCAGTTGAGTAATTTAAATAATAGCCAAAAGATTGCATACTTAAGTGGCATACTGATTTTTTCCTAATTAAAAACGGTGATCTGGGAGGAGTATGTACCTTGCTCATCTGTTCTATGCCATGGATTAACCAGTTCTACATTGTGCATGGACAAATTTTGCATGTTCGACTTTGTAAGATGGAGTTCGGGCTTCTCAGCCTCATTTTGAGTTAATGCATCCTTCCCTGTTTAAAATTTTCTCAGATCTTCTGTAGTAGTTTTGCTCTATATATCATCTTTCGTTCACTTAACTATATTTTCGGGACGAAATTTGTGGACTTGATTGAGCAAAATCTACCCTTGCAGGTCCTGCATCTCATCCCCTCTTGAGTGAAAGGAGATGACCAGATATCCTTCTGAAGAATCACAATTTGGATATCAAGTGAATCGGGAATAGAAAGTAAACATTCAAAACTATACTGTATTTTATAATTTTGAAACTTTTTGTAATAGCTGGCTAGGGAAATGGTATTTTCCTTCAATTTTAACTTTCATGTGTTGTACAAGTTTGTGGATTCATGTTTAAATAAATCTTTGAGTGAAGAAATGGTAATTAAATTGACTCAAAAATGTTAAATAATCACGAGATAATAGATTCAATCTTTTGATCTGGCCGCGGAAAACAAACTGATAAATAAAATTTTAAGCAGGGAGGAGTGAACCACATGTATATCAGTGTATGAACGGATCGTATTTTGAACTGATTCTTATAATATTAAACAAGACGTGTTTAACAAGTTAGATGGTATATATAGCCCCTGTTTGATCCCCATTACGTGGAAAAATTAATATGGGGAATAGTATTTTTTTGAAAAATGAGAGGTTGAAAAAGAATTAAAATTTTTCGATTTACGTGTAACATTATTTTATGGAAGATTGTGTGATTGAAAATAGGAGATGGTATATATAGCCCCTGTTTGATCCCCATTACGTGGAAAAATTAATATGGGGAATAGTATTTTTTTGAAAAATGAGAGGTTGAAAAAGAATTAAAAGTTTTCGATTTACGTGTAACATTATTTTATGGAAGATTGTGTGATTGAAAATAGGAGAGAGAAATGAAATATAATAGAATTTAATGTAATGAGGCTCAAACATGGGCATATTTATATGGCCCATCTTTTGTTATCGGTAAAGAAAGAGGTCTTTAATCAATTTGGCGTATCACGCTTGTTAATATGATCTTCTATCTAGCTACCTCGTTCACCATCAAGGGGGTTTTCTAAAGCCTTACATCTGTTTATTCGAGTGTCCAATCTGTCATTGTACATCGCCTTTCAATCCATCAAGGCGGTTTTCTAAAGTCTTGCACCTGTTTATTCGAGTGTCCAATCTGTCACTGTACATCGCCTATATTTTCGAAGTCATGTCTATATCTTGAGCCATGCCCTCTAGCCTAGGCATGTGAAGGGTCAAGAGGCTTATTAGGTTTCTTCAATCTTCAAACTATTTGTGCAAATTCTCCAACAAAGAGTGCTCTTTTTAGTCTTTTGCAAGAGCCCAAGGTGAAACTTGTTGATGATCGTAAATGAATAAATTTCCAACATAAACTCTGGTTTCGATTTATGCTTTTATACAAGATGGATTTAGTCCATTCACTCTTTCAATCCGAAACTATGGGGGTGTTTGGTGAGGATTTTAAGTCAATTAAAATTAATTTTTTGATCGTTATTTTACTATTTTAGCCGTCATTTTTGAATTATTCTCTCACAACTAGGACCCACTTTTATCTCTAATGATCAAAAAATCAATTTTCAAAATCCATACCAAATACCCTCTATATATGAAATGTGTTCAATGTTCGAAAGACACAATTACAGTGGACCACCCATTTTTACAAAGAAATTTAAACAAAAAATTGATATAGAAGATTAATATTTTAACGATACTCCTATCTTTGATGATGAACTGGATTTTGAGATTATCAAAAGGTCTCATTATTTCTTGGTTGCTCCTCTTTGCAATTGTTCCTGCAATTGTTCCACAATCATGGTCTATTCTCAGTATCCATGCTCAAATCAACGAGATTGAAAACGCGCTCAACTATTTTCACACTTTCTCCTTTCATGAAGTCATAATCTTAGGCAAAGCTTGAGATTAGGTGTTTTAGGTTCTTCGAAAAGAGGACAAGAGATGGTTTGAAGAGGACTAACTGGAGGGATGGTGGAAAACTGAGTTAATTGTTTCAATGGTCACCGAACTTAGATCAATGTTTTTGATTGGTAGCTGAAGTTTAAAATATCGAGTTTGTTCATTGAACTCAGGTCCATGTCTTCGATTGTCACTAAAGTTTAAAATGTCGAGTTTTAGCCATTGAACTTTGAAAAATATTGTACATTAACACTGAATTTTGAAAAATGCTGTACATTATTCACTGTAAACTCAATATTTTTCAACGTTCAACAGTTATGCTAGTAAGTAATATACAGCATATTCCAAAGTTCAGTGACCAGAACTCGACATTTTAAATTTCAGTGAGCCATCGTAGACATGAATCTAAGTTTAGTGAGCAACTGAAGACATGGACTTAAGTTCAATGATCAAAACTCAACATTTTAAACTTCAGTGACCAATCAAATACATAGACCTAAATTCAGTGACCATTGGAACAATTAACTCGTGGAAAACTACCAAGGCAAGTGGACCTGGGTGAAGAAGATAAGGATATAATGGTCATTTCATTTTCATTTTCCTTTTCCCTTTTCTACATTCTCTATTTCTTTATGCTCTAATTTAAAATAAGGGTAAAATAGTCATTTTATTAAAAGATTGACTTCCTAACCGTCAAATAAACGATTTCAATCCTAACAGGACGATGGTCACTAGTGTTTGGTAGTGTAGGATAGGTACGTAGGGTGTCAAAAATGAAAGGTCTCGAACCCCGACATCGTGGGAATCTAACTACATTTTACCCTAAAAAAATTAGGGTGTGTTTGATACACCAAAATTTTCCGAATTTCAACAACATTTTCTAATTTTTAAAGTGTTTGATGGTATATTTTTCCATGGAATTCAAAATCTTTCTTTTCTTAAAATTTGAAATTTTCTTTGTTTTTGGGGAAAATCAATTCCCACCTATTACTGCAAGCGCGTGCGCGCGCGCGCACACACATATATTTTATTTATTTATTTATTTTTTTGGTTGGCAAAGTTAGCAAATTTTAAGAATTATTGTAAAAAAATATTTCCCTTCAATTGACAATTTGCATGTAAAACAAAGCCAAACAAATATCAAAAGATTGATGATTTTCTTGATTTTTTTTAAATATATCCCTTTAATTGACAATTTTCATGTCAAAGAGAGCCAAACGAATACCAAAAAACACTTTTATTTCAACATTTTCCATGTGAAAAATTATACCAATCAAACATAATAATTTACAATTCCCAAGAAAACAATTTCTAGGCAATTTAATTCCCTAAAATTTGTTTTCAATTCAATTCCATTTTTACAAGCAAACGAACCCTTAGTTAACAAATGGATTGAGTTTTCGTGTATAAATAGTTTACTCAGTACCCATTTCACAAAACGCATTTTTTCTATATTCATTTTCAATCACATATTCTTACAATAAGGGTGTGTTTGATTACATTTATTTTCCATGAAAAATATCAATTTTCCATCCAAATTTTCACTTTGAGTGTTTGATTGCTATTTTTTTTCCATGGAAAACATTTTCCAACTTTTGAAAATATGCCTAATTTTCCTTGTTTTTAAGGAAAATATTTTCCTTGGGTAGAGGTGGTTTTTATTTTCCACAAAAGATGAAAAATATTTTCTTTTCTAGGTAATATTTTCCATGTCAATCAAACACACCCTAAATTATGTTTCATATAAATTTAAAACTTTTTCCTACTTTTTAACCACACATTCTCCAAAAATTTACTTTTTAAAAACTCTTCCCCACAAATGTATTTACACACATATATATAAAATCTGTTAAAACAAAGCTTCATTTTTTTCTTTTTCCATCAAATGCTTATCACAAACTCAATTTTAATAACATGGGGTGACAACAAGATTTGAACTCAAGATATTTAATCCACTATAATACTGAACTGAACAAAATCCTCTAAATGCACCCAATATCGATATCAAACCTTCATCTAAAAACTCCAAATACTGTAAACCAAATAAATGGAGAGCAGCAGTCTAAACTTGCTATTCATTTAGCTTTCTCGTCTTAATTGATGGGAAATGGTACTTAACATATGACCAAAATAATTTGTATTTTCTCTATTTTCCGGTTAACTACTTCGCTAGAGGACTTGTAACGTAAGCATACACGCTAGAATGAGGTACCACAAAAGCTCTAAATAATAAGAATTTATTTCACCGGATGGGTAAAATCTCACCAAATAGATTACTTATTTACCTGATACAAGTTACAGGAGGCAAAACAAATAAATGGCAAAAATTAACAATCTCGGTCCATTGCGAACCAAAATGAATTCCAAACTAAGAATGAAAACCTTCATTTTCCCGGTAAAAATGAAACCGACGTTAAAATTTTAACTTGGATCATAAACAAAAATCTTGCTAAAACCAGTTCCATAACACATACCAAAACTTGAAAACATAGTACTTGACAATGCCAAACCAAATTTCACTTCTTAGATTACAACAACGATGTTTCAAAGTCTAGATGAAACAGCAACAAACCACATTCTTACCATTCGAATACTAGCGCCTTCTAGTGGAGCTGAGAACACATTTAACATACTTACCAAAATTGAAGGTCCCCTATGCAATACTTCTACCCAAGCAACATTTCGATCCTGAAATTTTTTTTAAAGTGGTAATTTAGGCTATGATGCAGTTAAATCGGTAGATATACACAACTCATATGTACAAATTCTGCATTTACCACACTAATGAGACAAACCTATACAAGATACATCCCCAAATTTCATAATTTCATTTAGGATCCTAAACCGATTCACATCTCTCAGAGCATTGTATTCAACAAAATGCTGAACCCTCCCAAAAACTTGAAAAGTGATTACAGACATCAATGCTTTAGGAGAACGGACGGATGGAACAAAATAAAGGGTAAGACAACTCACCATAGTCGATTTCCATCTATCAATTTAGTATCGGTTATAGGATTTCCCAAATTCATCGCCCCTTTTATGCTCAAAGTCACTGTAAGTGACGTGAGGTCTTGAAGGATAATTTTCCATAGAATTTGGGTACTTTCCCGTTGACTCGATCGGCACATTGGTTCCAGGACCGGAATAGTTAGCATTGCCTGAAGAATTATCGTACTCTGGATAACTAGGTTGTTTATAATCACTAAACCCAGAAGCTGAAATATGCTGGTGTGCATGTTGTCTCCTCTGGATGTTAGCTTGAAGAAACTCTTCCCACTGTTTTGCCTGTGCACCCCTAAGCATTGCCAATTTCTTCATGTAACACTCCCTAATTTCTCTGACAGCCTTAAATTTGAAGAAGTTAATATAAAAGGAGTCAATAGTCGCATAGTCAAATTCAACAAAAAGATAAGGCAGCTCTCTTCCCCACCGACCTTTAATGGGAAAAGTCATTAAGTTTAATTGTAATTTATATTTATTAGGAAAGAACAAGGAAAGGATGCGTACTTAGATACGCATCTCAAAAAACGCTATTGTGCTTGGACATTCCTAAGATATACCATCATTAACTAAAATAGAAACAAAATAATAGAATGTAACAAACCTCACGATGCTTGTGAATTTCTTCATCTTCTTCCTTGTCTCGAATTCTCACAAGATCCATTGCTTCCCTTTTATAATCCGATTCTATTTCCTCAAAGGTTTGGGGAAATGCAGGGTATTCAAACTTATGGCAAGATTGCATGTCAGACCCACGTCTGTCAGCATCCAATCCATCGAATCTGTAGCCCCCTCTGCTTTGACTGCGACCATCATACAAATTATATGGGTCTCCCACATAAGAGGGGAGTGCTGGAGACCTTGAATGGCTTGATCGACCTCGAACACCATCATTACCATAAGCTTCACCAGAGGAAGAGCGAGTTAAGCACTTCCATTCAAGATCTCTAACAACGGAGGCAGCTTTAACATGACACACTATCTTAAATTCTCATAGTGAATCCAATCTGAGGCAAATGAGTCTCCATATCTCAGTTAAAAAAATTATTTGGAGACCACCCTTTCAATTCAACCCAAGACATATCTTTCAGAATGCTTGAACGTAAGAACTTACCTCTTTCTGCAAAGAATATGATAAGAAACAAGCAGGATAAAGAAAAAGATGGAACGGCTGAACAGAAAGAACTTATAAAAGGATACACCCTTATGAGATTGTAAATTACAAGTAAGAAATAACCCTCAGTTCAAGCAGAACAAATATAACCATGCTTTGCCTACCTTGCAGAGAGCCCCTCGATAATTTTCGCAGATCTTCACAAACACGGTCTTCCACAACCTTCTCCTGTCTTCCATATCTATGTGGGACCTGCAAGGCATTATGTGGACTGGGATTGGATCTTTGGGAATTAGAGCGTACCAACCGTGAGCTAACAGGACTCTTGCGTTCAGGAGACCAGGACCTGGAGATTGGGGAGCTTGAGGAATGCTTATGCTCACCCTCTTTTTTAACTTTATGAACAGCATCAACACCTTTTTTCAAGACCAACCTATCCTTGCCACTGACAATGATAAATTTTTCTTCAATTTTGATTTTGCATCCTATATCCTTTTCAATCTCATCTACTACCTTTTCAGTGAATAATGCTTTCACATGAGGATCTCTTGCAGGCACCCGCTCAAAATAATCTTGAGACTTGCGATTCGCTCCAAGAGTAGAAGGACAACCCTAAATTAAATCATTTAGGCATAATAAACAAAAAAAATTATCCATACTTGCACACATGCACATAAACATGGCGCAATAATTTTAGAGAGTAGGTAGGCACAACATTAGCAATGACATTAATTGTTTTTATCGTTGGTAACAATTATATTGAAACGTGCTTATATATTACAATGAATCCATCATCTATCAGTAAAAAAAAAATGAATTTAAGCGGGAAAAATATTAGTCTACAGTCAAATTTTGGATTAAGCAGCAGGGCCTAATTTTTTTTTTTCTCAATTAGCACTGTTTCACGATAATTTAGTAGACTGCATGTTTTTCATTATCATGCACCATTGGCAGTTTGATCCTAAGCATGCGTACCACTCCCCAGGTAAAAAATGCTGACTATAACCTATTCAGGGATTGTTGGCAAATATTTTATAAAAAACTAGGACCCCATTGACTTCAATATATGCATACCATCAACATGCATATCTTTATCCCCAGCCCCTCCACCTGCTCTCTTCCTCTGTCCTTTTCCAGAGACTAAGGTCAGCTCCTTCAGATATGAGAATTTGGAACAAAAGCAGAAAAGGAAATCAAAGCAGCTCAACTACTTCTCTTAGCATATCAAAAGAGGTTCTTTCATTATGCCTCTGTTTGGTTTAGCTAAAAAGTTGATCAAAATCTAAGTCAAAGTCAACAACTAAACTTAACTACACATTTCTGGGACCATAACTTTTCAACCACACATTTTGTCTACTTTTATCTACTAAAAACCTGTTTTTTAGCTAAACCAAACAAGGGCTATGTGACCATAACAATCTAAAACAAAGGAAATAAAGAAAAGGTACCTGAGTAAAGTGGCCTGATTCTCCACATAATTTACAGATCATTTCCTCCTCTTTCCTTTTCTTCCAGTTCCTCTCAGTAGCTTTAGATTTAGCTTCCCAAACCTTAGCTTCTCGGCTAGTAAAATCTGTTGGGACAGCATTAGGGTCACGGGCTTCCTCTTCCTCATCTGAACCAGAGTTGGATCTTTTTTTTGTTGTAATTCTGTCTTGTGCATTGGTTGCATTAGGATTAGATCCCAGAGGCCCAGTATATGCCTTATAAATTTCACAAAAATCATCATCAATGTCCACCTCTACCCTGGCAGCCATCTCAGCTTCACTTAACTAATTTCCTGCCAGAAGAAAAGATTAGAAAGTTAAATTGATATCAAGCAGAAGACAGGGAAATGTACACAAAGATACGAATCAAATTATCTCATGCGCTAAACTAACTCCCCGGAAATGTCATCACATTCAGCATTTCGAGCTGTAACTTTTCCTTCACAGCCAATTTTTTTTTTCTGGCACTATAAACTCCTCACCCATACGTACACACAAACTAAAACTAAAAGCTAGAAATTCTCTGAAAGAAGATTAAGAAAAATGTAAGTATTTATTGCGAAGAGATGCAATGTATTTAAAGAAAGACACTATGTGCTTACAATGCAAAATACAACAAAAATGGTCTATGTCAAAGGGAAATTTCGAAACTCAAACACCACGAATTTTTTTTAATACCAAGTTTCTCATTAATAATATCTTGGTTGCTTAAAAAACAAATATCTCATTAAGTGATACTCTCACAAAATGTAATATAGTATATCCTCTCAAGTCTCAACTAAACAGGGAGGGCTTACCTACATTAATCCTCGAATATCATAAACTGATTCTACCTCTTACTTTATTGATTATTTTCTTTTCAAAATGATAACAGGGCATTGGTTATAATTTACACGCCTTGTTAAAATCCCATTTGTGCCGCTAAAATTTCTCGTTTTGCTTAGTCAGACTTTTTTCCTTTTGTAAGATATCACTTCAGTTTCAGGAAACCTTATGTGCATAAAGTGCTTTTTCCCAATACAACAATGCGTAGAATTCTCGTCAGAATTGCAATATTCCTTGGTGCACTAAAGTAATCGAGATTTCATATTTCTCAGTCCCAGCACTTCTCAGGGAGCATTGAGCTAAATATAATTAAGAAGGAAATAAAATTACCAATACTTTAAGCTTGTATGGTCAAGATGACATAAAAATGGAATTTAACAATAATTGAAATTGATACTGCAATTCGCCAGAAAAAAACTGATAAGCTAAGTTTGATAATTGGAATTCGTGAAAATATATTTAAAATGCGCTAAACACATAAAATCAATCAGATTCAAACTTAAATTAAAAAATAACGAACAAATAAGGTGAAAACTAATCCTGGGTGGTGGCGATTTGCCCTGAGTAATGAAACGATAATTATACAGAAAAATTTCTACTACGATTTTTCATGCTTATAAATGAAACATTCAAATGCAAAATATCTAACCTAGAATAAAAGTTTTCTAAACAAACTATAGGATCAAGTTTACATAAATTTCAACAAAATATGAAACTAAAAAAATATAAAAATTGGATGCCTAATGTAAAACTGCAAATGAATTGCACAATAAATTGAGGGGCAAAAAGAAAAGAAAAATAGAATGTTACCTGTATTGGGGGAGGGGTTGGCGGGTAGGAGCGAGAGACAGAGAGAGAGAGAGAGTAGGCGAGGGAAGAACCAATGGACTAACAGCTAGGGCTCGTATGCTTTTTTCGAGTAAATTTAATTAAAACTCAACCACCTTTAACCAATATTTCTATGTGCTCACTGAACAATAAATAATAATCCATTGCTCACTGATCTATTTAATTGATTACTCATTCATCAACCATTTAACTCCTGTCACCATCCACTAACGAAACGTGCCACGTGGCCGACGAAAATCCAACGTGGCACGTTACATACATGAAATCAGGCCACACATGGACAATTTTTCAGAAACACGTCAAACACCTGCACCAGTCATCCTTCTTCTCCTCTCTACCGCCATCTCCTCCCCTTCTCATCCTCACACCACCAATGCCACAGCCATCTTCCCCACCCATTCCTCATTCACAAGGCTTAAGTGCTTCTCCTTGTTTTTGATTCTCTAGTCATAGACCCTCTGCAAACATCATAGGCATGTTGAAGAAGGTCCTTAAAATGATAGATCGACTTCTTCTTTCCTGGGCAGTAAGGTCACCTATAGAATTTATTTGAATACTGAACGTTTTTAGGTACATTCTTCAATGGTTCATATCATTGATTAACGTACTTATCTAATCCAAGTTCTCCCACTTTCACGAAAGCCCTCGACCGCGATGAGTTCTGAGAGCCGCATATTTTAATTTGAACTTCCGCAATGAAATTCAACTTTGCTAAGAAATTTTAACAATGTGCAAATTTTGGGGGTGCTTTTAGGGAGCGACTTTTAGGGTTCTTCAAGGATTTGGGGTGAATTTTGGTTCTTCACACTTCACAGATTTGGGGCGAATTTTTTCGTTCTTCAAGGCTTAACGAATTTTATAAAGTTTCATTATCTCTCTTTTGTTGAGATGCAAGTAGGGATTGAGAGTCTGAGAAGTTCATCATGGTTAATCCAGAGGGGGAATGGGTGGTGGAGATGGAGGTGGGAGGATGAAAAAGAGAGGAGATGGCGGCGGCAGAGTGGAGGAGGAGAATGAGTAGTGGTTGCAAAGTTTGGCTACCTTAAAAAAAAAAAAAGCCACATATTGGCCGTGTCGGATTTCCGTTGGCCAAGTGGCACTTCCGTTAGTGGAGGATGATATAAATCAAATGGGTAATTAAGAGGTAAGGAAATGAATAGACGAGTGAGCAATGGGTTATCATTTATTGTTCGGTGAGCAAGTAGAAATATTAGACAAAGTTGGGTGAGCATTGGTTAAATTTACTCGCTTTTCTCATGCTTTGTTTTTGCATTTCATTAAGCTAATATTCGTTGGTTAAAATGCACACTCCATCCGCAACCTTTGGAATAATTTGCAAATTGGTTCCAAACTTTTATTTTAGGATCTAACTCCTCGATTTTTCGTTTTTGTGCATATTCATCCTCGTTCAAAGTTTTCCGTCTAATTTTGGCGACAAATTTATCAAAAGGACACTTATGTCCGAGGTTCAAATAAAAGAAAAGTAAAATGAAGGGAAATGAGAACTTTTCAGAATGGTGAAAATAAGTTATGTCCTCCCTAATTTTTTAGACTTTGTCTTAAACAATAAACCCTCGTTTAGTGGCAATTTTTCCGCAAAAAAAATCAATTTTTATATCGTTATTTTACTATTTCAGCCACCATTTTTAACTTTTTCACTTATAGGTATGACTCACTTTTCTCTCTAACAGTAAAAAAATCAATTCTCATAATCACTACCGACAGGTCCTAAGTCTAGTTCCATCCATGTACATGGTGTTCCATCTCCCTCGCTATGTGCACAAAGTTGCTTGTCTAATCCACGTGACAGACCCATAAATTCCTTGGATTTGGAATTTTTCATTGTTAGCAATGGGTTGGAGGGCTTCAGTGTTGGCTCGAGTATGCGTTAGTAGGTGAAGCGATCAACGGTGATGGCAAGAGGTAGGAGTGGAGTGGAGTGGGATGGGGGATATGTGAGGTAGATGATAAAAGCTTATTTTATTTTTCTCCTTTGTGTTTATATTTTGTTTATTTTAAAGTTGAGTTCAATTTTGTTGTTTGACGTTTAACAACGGCAAATTGAGAAATTAAAACTATCATTTCAAATGTTGATTGTTAATTAGTGAAATATCGAGAAAAGCAACGCTGAATAAAAAAAAATTTAAAAATATATAATTTTGAGATAGCAGACAACATTAACCTTACTAAAAAAGATCCAAACTTATAGTACTCTTGTTGTATCCTTCAATCGAATTGAATCAAATTTTGTTGTTTAATTGTTGGGTGTAAGAATATGTTTGCATGGTACAAAACAAAATTGTCCATGTATTTAATCACACCTTTAATAATAGAATTTGGATTGTTATGAAATATTTTCCTCAACCATGCTTAATATTTTGTTATACTGGAAACTTGTAATATATGCATGAGGTTTTTATAAATTTTAGTTATGTGTCATTTTATTTATTTATAGTTTAGAATAAATAAAATAATATTAAAAAAAAATCTTTCGCTCTAGGCTTGAGGCTTGACCTTCACACTTTACGTTTGTCAGAATCATGCTTGAAAATAGTTTCTAAATGTTAAAACTATTTTGAATTATTTTTTGTGTATAAATTCTACATATCAAACCGTAATTCGTGCATACGTACGTAATCAATTTGTAGTTTATACAAGAGTCATAACTCATGGTAAGGGGCAATGAACCCTATATCACTGGAATCAAGATCGAAAGGTCAAGCCTATTTGTTTGGACTTTACTTCGATGAACACCTTACAAATGTACTATTGGATCACCTCTAAATAGTAAGTACAAGCTCACTTGCATTTCAAGCATGCTCTTACGTCATGAACTCGCTCAATGAAAAATGCTTGAACATCAATGGGACATGTGAGAGACATCCATATTTAAGGTGATTATTACACCCTAGCCCGATTTTAAAGTTCACCTTGCAAAAATCATGTATAAGGTTTAATTATTCACAAATCAGATGATAAATTAATTATTTAATGATAGATAATAATATTCCACCCTATTAATTTGAGAGACATTGGAGCAACTTTAGAACAAACATTCCGAGGTCGCCATGGGTGGGGAAACATTTTACTGTTTTATGTATTCTATTTCCACTTGTTAAAATTTCTACAATCTTCTAATGCCTACTGTGGGCTTTGGAGCACCGGGGCGGTGGTAGAAGGCCATTCAGAGGTCGTCGTTGGTAAGGAAATCTAAGCATGCGTGGAAAAATGCTTGTCACTGGGGCATGGGTGGACAAACACCCATCCAATTGCATCAATCATCATCTTCTTCTCATCCAGAAACTTCTACCGCTGAAATGGCAGGTTCTACTGAAGAAAAGGCAGAATATTATGCTCATAATAATAAAGAAGCAGAAGGTGGGTTTCTGGCGCAGACAACTAAAATAGCACAACATAATGCAGCTCTTAAGCAGTGGCCTACTCAGTTTGCGTGGTGTAAAGTATGCATGGTCGAATGCACTAGTTTGGAAATCCTTGTGCAACACAAAAATGGAAAGCGAAATAAAAAGAATTTCCAACGATTAATAGAGACGAGGAATGCTAAAATATCTGGCACTGAAATTCTGGAAAAGCAGACACCTATAGAAGTTTTTAGTCCTCAATTGACTTTGAAATCTGATAATTTACTGGAAGGTGAAGAAAATAAGAAAATTCCTTCCAAATATTTGCCAACAGAAGCTGTTACCAGGAGAAGTAGGGTGGAATCTAAATAGAAAAATGATCAAGCGGATCATTCTGATATTCCCATAGAGCCGCAATCTTATTTACTAGAAAATAATCTTCATGAGTAGAGCTTGTTGGTTTCTTTACTATTTTGAGTGAGAAATTTTTGGTATGGTGAGAAAATTTTAATACCAAATAAAGTAGCCCATAAATTCTGTCAATTTTGTCAATAATTGCATAATTACTAGTATTGAATAAGGTAGGCTCAATAATAGTAGAGCCTATATATGGAACATGGTTTTGGGTTCCTAATGCCATCTATTCCATTCAGTTTTCTTACACCATTGTCAAGAAATTGAGAAGGCATTAGAAGCACTCCAATCCAAAATGTAAAGCTGCATTCTCAAATTGTACAATTGACATCAATGGCTGGAGGTATATTTTCGGTTCATTTAATTTCCGCAATTAATCTATATGCTATTTAAAGTTTATATGGCATGATTAGATCGTAAGTATATAGTCTAACAGTTGGTATCAGAGCCTTAACTTTACCTCTACCTTGTTCATTTTGCTCTCTGCAATTTTTCCAGAAATTTACTGTACTTTTTAGGGATTGAAAATTCTTATTTCATAGCTTTTAATGAAAAATAAGGCTAGGAATTGTTGTAGAATTTTAGTTTCGCAAGTGCACAACCCATAACAAGTAATAGTGAACCTAAGGGTCCGACTTGTTGATTCCACAATGACTATTTTCTAGCACTTAATTTAATTTTTCTTTAACTACTATTTGACTAAAACAAATTAAAAGTTGCAGAATCTGAGTTTTAGTCTAAAACCTAGATAATAAATGGATGCTCACACGATTGGTTGGAAAATTAAATAATGAATCCATGTTAGAGCAAAATAATTTCACATATTGATCACCTTTACATCTCAAATTAAGACTCAATTCTAATGTAGTGTTCGGTCGAATTCTCTGATTGTATTCAATTTACCCCTTTCGAATTCTCATTGAACCTATTCAACTAATTAAATTACATATCTCTATGCAAATTCAACTTAGTTAAACGAAATCTTTTGTCCTAAAAATTTAATTATAACCGTAATAAATGGTATAAGTATCTCTACTCATTATACCAATGTATTGGATTTTACTCCAAGGTCTAAATCCCAAACTCATATT